CTTGATTGTTTATCTTATTAGTTCATTATTTTTCATTTTATTAGCTCATTATCTCTTTATTTTTGTTTTATTTTTTTGTCTTATCTTCTTTTACTTATTATATTTATCTTTTTTTTTGCATTATCTTTATTTTATTTATCTTTTTTTTTTGCATTATCTCTATTTTATTTTACTTATTTTAATCTTGCTTTGCTTATTTTACTTTCATTTTGTCAAAGTTATTTCAAGTCTATTTTCTGTTTCTAACTTCGTTTTGATTGTCATTCTTTTATATATTTGAATTTCATTTTATTTTACTCATATTATTATCATTATTGTATTTACTTCTATATTATCATTGTGTTATTATTTTCTGGTGGATCTTTTGATTTGCTGGAATTTAATAGAAAAGTAATATTTTAATCAATATTTCTATAATCTAATCAAACTCTTCTTAAAAAAAAAATACATGCACTTTAAACAGTACATTCTCTTTAGCACATTCTAATCATAAAGACATTTAGGGAAACTATATAAGGATTTTTTTTTGTATGTTTGTCTTCCACTTGGTAACTGTTTCCACCCTGTTCTGGGCAGAGGTATGTGGGAAACGTAATGGCGACGCAATACCTGTGTTTCTCCCTCCTAATATTTACCGTAGATAAGAACCACTTCCTCAACGTAATACTGTCGTAATTCCTTAAAATAAATATACCCATTCCATCCTCACACATACACACACACACGAAAGAAACTTACGCACTCTCTCTCTCTCTCTCTCTCTCTCTCTCTCTCTCTCTCTCTCTCTCTCTCTCTCTCTCTCTCTCTCTCTCTCTCTCTCTCTCTCTCCCTCTCTCTCCCCTTCTTTCTCTCTCTCTCTCTCTCTCTCTCTCTCTCTCTCTCTCTCTCTCTCTCTCTCTCTCCCTCCCTCTCTCTCTCTCTCCCTCCCTCTCTCTCTCTCTCTCTCTCTCTCTCTCTCTCTCTCTCTCTCTCTCTCTCTCTCTCTCTTTCTCTCTCTCTCTCTTCCTCTCCCTCCCCCTCCCCCTTCCCCCCTCTCTTTCTCAGCCAACTTTTTTTAATCATTTATTCTTTACCCTTTTAATGATTTGTTTTGTAATACTTGCTCATTATGTTCTAGAGTCTTGCGACTGTTCACTCACGGCATATTCAGCTCCAACCGGCCGTGGTTTACGCTTAAGAGTGTGTGCTGTATCGAGCAGGGATTAATTAATGAGTTTAGCAATACTTCGTCTCTCTCTCTCTTTCTCTCTCTCTGTCTAAGTGGGTATGTGTTTATATATGCATACATATATACACATATGTATACATATGTATACATATATATACATATATGTACATATATATACATATATATACATACACTCATATATACACATCTGTATACTAGGTTATACATATATATACATATATGTACATATATATACATATATATACATATACATATATATGTGTGTGCGTGTGTGTGTGTGTGTGTGTGTGTGTGTGTGTGTATGCTTATACACACACACACACACACACACACACACACACACATGCACGCACATATATGAATGTATGTATATATATGTGTGTGATATCAATTATGATTTTTTTCCCGAACGTAATTTCTTGTTCTGTCCTCTCGAACTCCCTCTCCCTGTGACCTCTGCTGACCGTGGTGTTCCCTGACCTTCCTCGCCCTCAGTCGTTCATCCAGCTGCCTCGGTGATATTCCTCGACCCCTTCCCCTCCCCCACCCCACTCCCTTCCACTCCTCCCCACTCCCTTCCCCTTATCCTCACTCCTTTCCCCTCCTCCCCACTCCCTTCCAAAGAACAGAAGGGTGTAAAACAGATCAATACTCACGCCAAGTTCACCCTTATTGCATTTCCATGTTCCGTAACAGGTGGGGACTCTGCCGCGGCGTCGTTGCTCCCCTGGACAAGGCAATAACACTGTTGATATCCTTGCAAGGGGGAGTGTCCGTCACACCTTGCTTCTTCTCAGTCGTGTACCGGGTTAATGAACTTGAAAGTAATTGTGGGTATTAAGAGTTAATTAGCCGCATTAGGATTGCCGATTATGCATTTGCAACCGTGAAACTATAAATTTTTGTCCTCCTGTCTAGATAGATGAAAAAAAGAGAGGGGGGGGAGAGAAAAAAAGGAAAGAAAATTTGAGGTTTAATCTTTCGAGCTGTTTGGTACAATGGTCGGGTGATTCAAATTTAACAAGCGTTTTTATATGATTTTTAATCGCCTCACGTCAGTAAATTTTCTTGGCTTGGCAAATGATAGATGGAAAGTATTGAAAAACTTTACTTAAACAAGACTAATTGTTGATTTTCGAGAGCATAAAGCCTACAGGCTTTTAATGAAATAATACCATAGTTATATCTAATCATTTTCCAAGCAAAAGCTTTGTTGTGCTTTAAATTCACCTGTTAGTATAATATAATACAAAAAAAATCTAATGCAATATTTCACCGAGGCACCCAAATCTCTCTTCATTCGTTAATTTG